TACTCAAGTATGGGTAAGACGGCCTCAGAAGGGGAGGTTCAGCCAATGGGAACCTCTGGCATTGGATGGTTATTAAAGAGAAAGAAGCATTGATGCAGAAGTATGGGAGGGCAGCAGTAGGGGTAGGGCACTGAGTGAGGAGCCTGAAAGCGAAGTGCAGGCCAGGGGAGAGCCTTAATGTCATTCTCACTGCTTAATGGCATCATCTCCACTAGTGTTGAAGGATGGTTCCTGGGCTTCTCTACCTGGTGGGCTCTACCACTCACCCTCCAGGCAGGCTGTGCTGACAGCCTCCATGTCAGCTGCCACTGCTTCACGGGGAAAGCTGCTTGGGCAAATATATGGTACAACAATACTATTGAACACTATGTAGCAGGAGAAAGAGAGAGAGAGAAATTCCTCTGTATGCATATATGGGTAGCTCCCCCAATCCCTATATGTACATACAGTTAAAGAAAAAAAGCAAAGTTCAAAACTGTGATTTCATGCTATCTTTTGTATTAAGGCGGGAATATAGATCTGTATTCGGGTTTGCTTGTATATGCCTAGAGAAACCCTGGAAAGCATGGGACACTAAAAACAGTGACCCTGTGGGAATAAGGCAGGGTGGGCCGGAGATGAGGAGTAAGGACGGAAGGGAGTTTTACTATATGACTTCTTAAAATTTTCTCAAACTTGTGACTATATCACCTATTCAAAAATTTCATTTAAAAAATGTGGAGAAAATGTCGTTTTCCAGTATAAGTTTCATGAGTACATTATATTTTTTTAATAGAAGTGATTTTGCCTGGTGTGATATTTTACAATTTNTGACTTCTTAAAATTTTCTCAAACTTGTGACTATATCACCTATTCAAAAATTTCATTTAAAAAATGTGGAGAAAATGTCGTTTTCCAGTATAAGTTTCATGAGTACATTATATTTTTTTAATAGAAGTGATTTTGCCTGGTGTGATATTTTACAATTTTTTAGGTAATTATATATTCATAAGCAGTTGTGAAAAATAATATAAAGAGATCCAGTACATCCTCCACTCAGTCTCCCCCTGTCCTCAAGATATAATTTCCTTCACCACTGTGTGCTAGTTTTAAATCTTGAAGATGTGTGAGCTATGAAATGAAATAACATGTTTTACAAATTGGTGTGTGTAATATGATCCCACATATTTTAAAAACTTGGGTAGGAAACCCAGCACAGCAAAACGGGAAAGTAGTCATCTCTGGGCATAAGGATTTCAGCTGGTTTGACTTTGTCCTTTTTCCTACCGTTTTTTCATACTGTTTCCTTTTCCTTTTCTTTCTTCTTTTTTGTGATGAAACTCACGTAACACGCAACTGCCATTTTAACCTGTACAATTCACTGGCAATTAGTGTATTTACAATGTTGTGCAACCACCTCTCTTTAGTTTCAAAACTTTTCCATCCCCCCAGAATACCCTCTATCCATTAAGTAATCACTCCCCAAATCCCTAGACTCCCCTCCCCTGACAACCTCTAATCTGCTTTCTGTCCCCATGGATTTGCCTATTCCAAACATTCCACACAGAAGGAATTATGGTTTCTTTTGTGTCTGGCTTCTTTTACTTAGCAAATATTTTCAAAGTTCATCCAAGTCGTAATGTGTATCAGTACTTCATTCCATTCTATGGCCAAATAATATTCTATTGTATGTATATACCACAATTTGTTTCTCTATTCATCCACTCATGGACATTTGGCTTGTTTCTACATTTTGGCTGTTACAAATAGTGCTGCCAAGAATATTCATGAACAAGTTTTTATTTGGACTCCTGTTTTCAATTATTTGGGATATAAGCCTAGAATTAGGATCGCTAGTGATTGCATGTTTATCTTTTCGAGGAATCAACAAACTACTTTCCATATGGCTATGCATTTTCACATTCCTATCAGCAATGGGAGGAAGTTCCTATATCTCAATAGCCTTGCCAACACTTGTCACTTTGTCATTTGTATTTTTACTATAACCATCTTCATAGCTGCGAATTGATATCTCATTACGGTTTTGATATGCATTTCCTTAATGACCAGTGATGTTGAACTTCTTTTCATGAACTTGTTGGCCACTGCATATTTTTTTTGAGAAATGTATAACCAAGCAAGTGCTCTTTTTAATTGTATCACTATGAATGCATTTTAAAACAAAGGGATTAAATTTTATATTACTGTTTCTGAATAGCATTTGCTCTTATTCCTGATAAAAATTAAAATTTCAAATAATTTCTAATTGCATTAGTTAAGGTAATGGTAGCTGTCATAACAAACAAATCCCCGAATGTTTGATGGCTCAAACACAACTGAAGTTTCTTTCTTGCTCAAATAAAGTCCAACATATTCAGTAAATGGCTCTCCTCCAGGCAGCAAAGCAGGCCTCAGGCTCCTTCCATTATGTGGTTTTGCCTTCTTCACCTGAGGGCTTCTCAGGAGGCACGGTCCAGTATTTGTAAAAGGACTGTTGAAGCAGTGCTCAGTGACCACTGGGGCTGGAGACCATGAGGAAATGGTACCAATTTATCTTATTTTTAAGTGTAGAAACGGAGAGGGTTCAGGGTTAGACTAATCGCAAGTAGAGACTTCCCAAGGTAGATGCTGTAGAAAGATAAGGAAGCTAAAAAGTAGCTGGCTTTAGCCAATGTAGGTGAATAGTGCATCACGGGATGTACATTAGAAAGGTATAAAAGAGTGACAATGCAAGGGAGTTAATGGTTTTAGGGAAAAAGTATAAGCTGATAAAACCTAGGTATAAATTTGTGAAGGAGTTGGAAGGTCAGCAGGTTGTGGTAAGTAAATCATACATCATGGTTTCAGACACTGAAAACAGTCTAGTTCAGGATGATGATAAATAACAAAGGTGTGGCCATGGGCGTAGATGTCCATAAAGGGATTTACAGCTCCTCAGGTTCGAGATAGGCAGGGAGCCCTGAGAGTCGGCATCGTCAGGGTCATACACGGAAATACGGACATTTCTCACATGTAAAGGCCTTGAGTAAACAAAGGAGAGTGTACAGAAAAGGTATTAAAGTAATATAGCCTATATTTTAAAGGAGGACAGGTATTGCATGGCTCTGAGAGAATACAGAACCTGAAATGACAAGAGGTTAAGAGCCTACACTATATGAAAAAAAGCAATTTCCAACTGGCTGTGGGGTGGTGGGGCAGTGCCTTTGGGGAAACATCCAAGTTACAGTTAAGGAAAAGAGGTGAAAGAACTATTCTAGAAACCTCGAGAATGGTAGGTAATTTAATTGGCCATGGAACAAGGATTCCAGGGGGAAAGAATGGAAGGAGGAAGCATCAGTTTGGAGGAAATTGAAAATATGGGCATTTCTACAGGAATATCATAATCTAAGTAACGTGACAGTAGACTTCAGGCTGGCCTTCAAAACACCTACATAGGCTGGATCAAATCTGACAAACATATTTTCGGTTTCAGACCTGAACTTGCAAGAGAGTAAGGGAATCTCCCAAGGGGCACAACTAAAGAGAGTACTAAAAACTAGCACAATAAGAGCATGCTTATTACACTGGTGCTACTCCAATAACCAAGGGGTTTGGGTTTTAGCACTAGGAGAGGAGCCCTTCAGCCTGTGTAAGGCAAGGAGTTGGAATTTTAGACTCTACATGAATTCAGGACCCTCCAAGTGCTTACTTAGCTTGAATGAAAGAATGAATCAAAAAGAAATCTTTCTTGGTCTAGCTTCTGGGAAAGAAAAAAATTCCCCTATGAGAATTTGTGGCCATAGGTGTTCCTTCAGGTGGGTTTGGTGTTCAAAGTATTCTGCCTGAACAGCCTGGGACCCCAAATTGAAAAATTCACGTGAATAGTGGTCCTAGTCCAGGAATTTTAATCCTAGAAAAGAAGAGGAGAATGGGTACTGGGGCCTATTGAGCAGTCTGGCACATGAGTCCATATTTTTGTTGCAGAGAAACATGATCAAGAAAATACTTTCAAGGATCATAAAGGATTACATTAATGTAAAGTCGGGGGGAATATGGAATAGAAACATAAGATCAAGAGTGAAAAGGAATTATGTAACATTTCCAGTATCACCTGAGTGTTAAGTTCCATTTAGTGGAAGTTTGGGGTTTAGGAGAACCAGTTAAATGACACCAAATGGCAGAAAACAAACACATCCAGAATGGGGGACATTTCATAGGACAACTGTTCCTGCAACAAGTTAGTGGCATGAAAAGATTAAGATAGACTTTAAATACATAAAACTGAAAGTAATGTCTGAACCTTATTTGGATCCTAACCCAAATGAGCCAACTATAAAAAGACATTTTGGAGACAGAAGAGATGATTGTTTGATGCGATGTAGCGCTGTGTTGAAAAACTGTTTTTAGAGACACATACTGAGGTGTATGATGGGAAATGACATGTGCCTAGGATTTGCCTTATAATCCTTCAACAAAGAAAACAAGAGAAAGGAGGTTAAGAAAAAATATGGCAAAATCTTGATAATGGGTGGTGGGTATATGGGTGTTATTTATACCATTGTTTCTATTTTATATATGTTTAAAATAGTCATAGTCAGAATTCAAAATTATTTTAGAGAACATGTTAACAAAAAAGTTCAAAAAGCATTAGTGTAGTATACAAGCTAATTATGCTATTTACAGAAATATCCCAGATGTTTTTCTAGAAATTTCTTATTCTTCCAAGCGTGGGAGCCCAACTGATGCTTTGCCCTGCTTCCATTCTAAAATGCCAGAATCAGGAAAAATAAGCACTCTGAGCACTGAGATGAATCAACAATGATAACGTCACCCCATCTAGTTCCAGGCCCCAAGAAAAAGTTAAAAACTAAGTAATTCCTACAAATGTGGACACTGTAATAAAAAATGGTGTTATTCTTAACTCTGAGAGTGCTAACATCTAAAATAATGTCACAATCTTGTGGATATGGTTAACTGAGAAACAGTTCCTGTTTTCCACCATGAACCAATAAATCAAACTAGTAATTTCACAGGCTTCTTACCTTTCTTTTAAAAACTTGAGCTTCACTTAAATGCCCAAATCCTTGAACTGGTCTGACTCCTTCATACCTTTAAAAAAAGTATTATTGAGATACAATTGACATGTTATGTAATTTACCCATTTAAATGTACAATTCAATGGTTTTTAGTATATTCAGTGTGTAACCATTGATACAATTTTATGTGATTTTCTTCACCCCAAAAAGAAACCCTGTACCGTAAGCAGTCACTATCCATCCCAACCCCCCACCTACATACAGCCTCACCATCAACTCTAGGCAACCATTAATTTGTTTTCTGTCTCTATGAATTTGCCAATTGTATAAAAATGGAATCACACAAAACATCGTCTTTTGTGTCTGGCTTCTTGCACTTAGCACAATGTTTTCAACGTTCATCTATATTGCAGCATGCATCAGTAGTTCATTCCTTTTTACTGCCAAACAATATTCCATGGAATGGATATATCACATTTTATTGATCCATTCATCAGCTTATGGACATTGGTTGTTTACATTTTTTGGATGATGCTGTTAGGAATAATAATGCTATGGACATTCTTGTAGAAGTTTTATATGGACACAAATTTTTATTTCTTTAGGAATGGAATTGATGGGTCTTACAGTAACTATATGTTTAACTTTTTGGGAAACTACCTAACTGTTTTCCAAAGTGGCTAAATCATTTTACATTCCTACCAGCGTTGTAAGAGCATTCCAATTTCTCCAGGTCTTTGTCAACACTTGTTATTGTCTGTTTTTTTTATGACAGCCAGCATAGTAGGTGTGAAGTGATATCCCATTGTGATTTGTGATTTGCATTTTCCTAAAGGCTAAATATTTTGAGCAAATTTTCAAGTGCTTATTGACTATATTGACTATTTCCTTACACCTATGTGAAAGTAAACTTTCTAAATGTCTTTGTCTCTGAGTCTTCTTTCAATACTTGTAATATCTTCAGTTAACCTTAGAATCTCCTTAAGTAGTTACTTAACAAGAAGATAAAGAGTAATGATAATACACTAGTATTTTCTAATTCACTCACTCATCCAACATGCATTGAGTGCCTATCATGTGCCACAGGCTGTTCTGGGCACTGAGCATATAGAAGAAAATAAAACAGACACACATAAAAAATTGCTTGCTTTCATAAAGCTTTCATTTTGGGGACATAAAACTTTATGTCCCCAGTTAACATAATGGACATACAGAACTGTGTAAGTTTAAGGTGTACAGCATACTGCCTTGACTTACCTACATTGTGAAATGATTAGCATAATAAGTTTAGTTAGTATCCATCACCTCATATAGACTCCATAAATTTTTTTCCCCTGTGATGAGAACTCTTAGGATCTACTTTTTTATTGAATAAAAGGAAAACATAAAATTTACCATCTTAACCATTTTTAAGTGTACAGTTCAGTATACACAAACTGTTGTGAAACTAAACTCCAGAACTTTTTCATCATGCAAAACTGAATCTCTATACCAACTAAATAACAGGTCCCTCTTCCCTCCTCCCCGCAACTCCTGGGAACCACCATTCTGCTTTCTGTTTCTATAAATTTAACCAACTCATATAAGTGGGTCATATAAGTGGAATCATACACTATTTGTCATTTGGTGACTGCCTTATTTCACTTAATATCCTCAAGGTTCATCCAGCTTATAGCATTTCCTTCCTTTTTAAGTGTTCCATTAATAGTGTTCCACTGTATATACACACCAAACTTTGTTTATTCATTCATCCATCAATGGAACATTAGAGTTGCTTCCATTTCTTGGCTATTGTGAATAATGCTGCCATGAACAAGATAGCTGTACACCTATCTCTTTGAGACCCTGCTTTTAGTTCTTTTGGATATCTACCCAGAAATAGTACTGCTGGATCATATAGTAGTTCAATTTTTAATTTTTTGAGGAATTGCCATACTGTTTTCCATAGTGACTGAACCATTTTACATGCTCACCAACAGTGCACAAGGGTTCCAGTTCCTCCACGTCCTCTCCAACACTTGTTCTTTTCTTTTTTTATATATAGCAGTTACCCTAATGGCTATGGGGTGGTATCTCATTATGGTTTTGATTTGCATTTCTCTGCTGCTTAGTCATGTTCAGCATCTTTTCACCCTTCACCTCCTTGACTAGGTTTACTCCCAAGTATTTTACTCTTTTTGATGCTACTGTAAATGAAATTGTTTTCTTAATGTTCTTTTCAGATTGTCCATTGTTAATGCATATAAACACAACTGATTTTCAGTGTTGATTTTGTATCCTGCAACTTTGCTGAATTCGGTCATTAGTTCTAGTAGTTTTTAATGGAATTAGGGTTTTCTACGTATAAGATTATGTCATCTAAGAATAGAGATGGTTTTAATTCTTCCTCATTTTTTTTTCCTACCTATTTGCTCTGGCTAGGACTTCCAAAACTATGTTTAATAAAAGGAGAGTGGTATCCTTGGAAACTGTTTCAGTCTTTCACCCTTGAGTATGATGTTAGCTATGGATTTTTCATAGATGGCCTTTTTAATGGTGACGTAGCTTCTATTTCCAGTTTGAGTGTTTTTATCATGAAGGGGTGTTGAATCTTGTCAAATGCTTTGTCTGCACCAATTGAGATGATCATGTTGTTTCTGTCTTTCATTTTGTTATTGTGATGTATTGCATTGATTTTTTTCTTATATTGAATATTCTCCCATTACAGGAATAAATCCCACTTGACCATGGGGAATAATCCTCTTAATGTGCTGTTTAATTCGGATTGCTAGTGCCATGCTCATGTTTTGTGCATTGTTGCAGTTTTAGTACATGGGCTGCCAACTCCTGTGGCTTTATTTTTTTTAATGGGGCGTAATATACTTTGAGCTTCCTAATGTACCACTCTGCATTTGTTATCAAATGAGTAAATGTCTCAAGGAGCAAGAATTATGTTCTGTGCTTGAAACACTGACAAAAATTAAGGCGTGCTACTCCTGCTGTTTTTTCTGCAGAAATGGCATCACCTCCTACATAACGTACCTCACCTGGAACGTCAGAGCGACCCAGTGACGGCTTCTTCGGGAAGTGCTGTGCAACACTTTGAGCCAGATGTGCGGGTTCTGTGACACCATATGAAACTTTTGTGAATATACGCAAAATGTTCTAAATTTAAATGAGTAAGATGTACCCAGAACTCAGTTTTTCTCCAACGGATGCATAATTCAACCTTTAGGGTATATATACGTATTTTTTAATCCCCCTTCCTGTGTAGTGGTAATGTGCGGCGTTATGTGGAGCGTAAGCGGTTCATTTTTCTGGCTGAGTACTGACCCGAACACAGTAATGCAGGTACTCGGGTCAGTATGCTGGGCCTGGGCCTGAGGTGAGAGAAGATCGACGGGTGTTTACAATACCTATACGGATGATCCGCCGACTTCCTGGAAGCCTCCCGCCAGATGTGGCCCAAATAAGGGGTAAAGGAGGAAGAGAATCCCTCGATCTGGACAGGGCGCGAGTCCAAGTAAGGCTGGAAGATTAGACAAAACCCAAACTCCTGAGAAAAAACACATCCGCGCGGACCGCTCACGTTTCGCGCCTGCGCCCTGCCCCGTGCCGCGTCACGTGACGGCGCCCGGGCCCGCGCAGCCTCGAGCTGCTCCTCCCCCGAGCCCGGCAATGGGTCCCTACGGCCGCGGCGGGAGCCGGTCGCTTGGGGGCCCCTGCCTGTGGCACTCGTCGAGTGCCCGTAGGCGCTGCTTGGGCAAAGGAGGGCGAATTCCAGCTGAAAGCCCGTGTCTCCTTCCTTTTTCGTGTTCTGTTCTGCTCGGAGACACCCCGACGCCACCATCTGTTGTGCGGCTCTCGTCTCTCGGGGAATTTTAATCGTGTTTGAAGCAGCCCCAATTGGGCTTTTTTTTTGTTTTTTTTAAGAAACACCAGGGACGTGATACCTCAAAAATGTCACCCCTCCTTCGATTTACATAGGAAACTGAATTGTAAAATGGAGTACCAGTTACTTTGAATAAAAGAAAGAAAAATGGGGAAAAAATTCATGCACACACGGTTACATGAACACAATACTCCCAAATAATGAATTGGCAACAACGGCTGTGACCAGTTTGGGGGAGAAGAGACTTGGGTGGCTGAAGGGCGGGCCTGAGGAGTGTTTGGGTTTTTTTTTAAACATCTTTTGAACTTTGTCCCATGGGCATGTATTATTTTTTAAATGTCTGAATGTGTGACTCCTTTATCAAAATGTAGACACCAGGGAAATTAGGAAATTTAATAAATCTGAGTCGAATTGAGTAAAGCTGAATAGAATGATAATGAACTCGAAGAGAAAAACGTCTTGTGTAAACCAGCAAGTACTTCCTCTTTTTTTTTTTTCTGTACAGAGATCTTTGGGCAGGGCGGGGTACGGGAAAAGAGAAGCCAGTCATTTTCGGAAAATAAGCAACGGTGGTATATGGGAAGCAAATCTCTATCGCCTTAATCATTGTATATCCCTTTTGGACTTGCTGAAGAAAATTGAAAGGTAAATTTTAGCGTGTGAGATCGGTAAATGGGGACACTTGATGTTTATTTTTGTAAAGGAAATGAATCGGGTGTGACTGGCGGGGTTGAGACCTGAAGTTCCTCTTCTAGATAAGGAAAACTTCCCTTAGTGCGGCATCTCCAGACTGATTATGGTATATTTCTCCTCCCAACCTCACAGGATAACTTCAGACTTCCTCCTCTAACGGAAGTTGTGAGGAAAAAATTAGACACTTGTGCCTAAGAGGATTTGCAGACAAAAAGCTATTCTGAGAGGAAATTCCGGACTCTTGTTATTCCCTGGGTCAACTGAACCAGTCCACCTTTAGTCCCCAGTGAGTGCTTAGTGGATCCAGACAAGAGTGGGAATTTGGGACCGGACACTGGGGATCCACAAAGTTGAAAGTATGAAGATTACGCTTCTTAATTTGCCTTTTTTGTAAGTAGTAAGCCAGAAATTGAGCTCCCAAATAAAATATTTTAGGAATAGTATTTCTTAAGTAACTCTAAATGTCAGTACATCTACAAAGAAATGAAAGCTAGTGGGTAATGCATCAAACAGACTGAGCAATGAGCAGTACCTGGGGATAGAAATTCCCCAGAGAGGAAAAAAACCGCCACAGGAGAACATACTTAGTAAAATTTATTTTTTTAAAAAAAAGAAAGAAAAACAATAATTTATGCCCTTGGCAAAATATTTTGTCAATATAAATGTTTCTTAGAAAACATATGAAAAGATATAATATATATATCAATAAATCAATATCAGTGTTACAGCAAAAGTAATATGATTCCATAACAAGGACAAGTGAGGCTATTTCTGGTCCTTACATGGCTGTATTTTTGGAAGATCCTTTGATTCTTCCTTTTTTTAGTACAGATCTGTGATCATTTTAAAATAGCCTGATACACACATATCTAAATTTAGAAAGGTGATCAGTTACCTTTATGATCAATAATTCTTTACAAAAGAAATCAGCGGAAAGATTTCTGTAAGGGATCTTCAAATTAGCAAATTTTTCTAACACATTTAGAACATAATTAACGAAATACTTCTTTTGTTTTAGCTCTATTGCATAAAGCGAGGTATACCTGAAGTGAGGCAGTAACAGAGCTGGGCTTCAGACTTAACGGGGGAGAGTGTGTTTTTACTTCCAGGATGGGGAAATGGTTAGAGGCACAAGTTCTCTCAATCTTTTGTTTCTCTCATCCTGAACTTTTGATTTTCATGTATCTAAGGCTTTCTGATGAGCTTTTCTCCCCTGATCGTCTCAGAAAAAAGGAGGGAGACATGTGAGAGGGGGCAAATTCGTGAATTAGTGAGTCCCTCCGGCAGAGCAGAGAGGAGAATCTGGGATTCCGAGTGTATATGTGGATAGAGCTGGGGGAAAACAGGAGCAATTCTGAACCTTGACATGTTTTTGAGGCCCCTCCCGGCAGGAGCACCTGACTCCCTGAGGGGCAACAGGGCCAGGCCAGCCCTCCCTGATAGGACACAGACGCAGGCGAGCGACCTCTGGCCTATTTGTCACACTCCTCCTGGCTCCCTTCCGCGCAGTGGTAGTGCTGCTCGCAGAACTCCTGGATCCGGCTGCAGGCTTCCAGCAGCATCACTTTGGGGACTGTGATCACCACTCGCAAGAAATTCGGGTACTCGAAGCACTGTAAACAGAAAAGCCTGTGACTCTCAAGAGCGACTGAATCTGGTACCGGACCACCCTAAGATGGCCAGGGTCCTAATCAGCGAGAATCAGTGGTGCCATTCACTGAGGGCCATCGATTCCCTCAGTTCCCATTATTGGGGTGCTAAGTCAGTAACTGAATTAGTTCACCTTAAAAGGGACTAATGGAACAAATTTGATTTCCCTTCACCTAGCATTTCTTCCTGGTATGGATGGGATAATGATGGGGGAGAAACTAATTTTAATACAAGCCCTGAGACATATCAGTTTGAATCTTATCAGATAAGAATACACTTTGTTAGCGGAGAGCAAGTTGGGCTGAAGAAGTCAGGGCATGCATGACTTCTAGAGCTGCTTAGGCTCTAGAAGCTGCTGAGCACGTCCTGAGAGAAACGTAGCACTCACCGCCGCTGGGAGGCAGTAGACAGATTGCTCAGCAACTAACCGCTCCGTGAATTCCACATCGTTCTCAAACTCTGGGAAATGTTCCATCTCAATTCCAACCTATACCAATAATAGGGAGAGGTGAATTTATCAGAAGATAGGAAAACAGGCCAGCTCCCTCTGCCAGAAATTAAGGATTGCTCTAAAAATTATCTAGGAACTCTACTATTGGTAAGAGCTCTAGCACTTAGGTTCTCATGGAATTTTTCATAGGGAAGAGTGGATATGTTTACAGTAATACTTTATTGAAGAGTTCCTTCCTGGATGCTGATAAAGAAAGCTGGAAATAGAATACCAGTGTTTCTTTAAAAAAAAAAAAAAGAGCACTATTAGCATTATGAGCCAGGCAATTCTAGATTGCATGGAAGTGTTCCACCCATTGCAAGATATTTAGCACCCCTAGCCCACAAAATGCCAATAGCACCCCCATTCATTCTGAAAACAACAAAATTCCCAGACATTCCCAAACACCCCTAGGGAACTACCATCACTCCTAGTGGGGAATTACAACGGTGTGGAAAGCCTCTTATTTGTCTCTTTTATCTTCTCCATATCTACACATGAAATGGTTTTCTGTATTGAGGAATCAAGTTCTTCGAGTTATTTCTAACACTGAGGTTAAGTCACATCAGTGAGAGAATTCAGAACGAGGCACTTCCTAACCTGACCAGCTCAGAATGGGTGGCTTCTTCGTGAGTCAGTCCTGCAGAACGGCCTCCCTTTGCCTTACAAGTGCCTGCCACTCACTCACATACTTACCATGAGGTACATGGCCCCCAGAGGGCGGATTGGCCGGAGCCCAGGGATGGCAGCCAATGCCCCGTAGCAGAGATCAGCATTGGACTATAAGAAGGAGCAGACAGACATCAAGGATCAAAATTTAAGTGACAGAAAAAGCAAGTCATTAGAATTAGAGCCTGTATCTAAGGCGGGGAACCTAAGTTTGCTGTGCTTGCAGAAGGGGTCAACAACAAAAGGCCTTCTCACTTGAAGATTTTGGCGAGGAATGAAAGAAATGTAGGGGTGTTTACTCAGAGTGATGTCGCCCCCTGATGTGGGAGCCCCATGATGGAGCATGGCTCCAGAAATGAGGACCCATCACTCCTGACCCCACTGGTAGCATTCTGACCCCCACACCCTTGCACCCTTACCTTGAGGAAGCTTAGAGTGTTGCGGTAGAACTCTTGCGGGGTGCGGCGCAGGATGCTCTTCAGAGCTCCCTGGACAATGGTACAGGGGCCCAGGATCCGCTGACTCAGCTTCACCAGCCCATCTCGGATCTAAAAGTCCACCAGCAATCACACTATTTAGCATTTCTTAAGCACCCTGACTTTGAGGATTCTTGTTCTGACCATTCTTTCTACCAGGTTTTTAATCTCTGGGGAAGTGATGGTGCCTAGTGGCATTCTTAGGTCAGACCACCTGGGTTGTAGCCCAGCTCTGCCAAGTACCTGCTCTGTGACTCTGGAAAAATTATACAACTTCTCTGTGCCTCATTTTTCTCAAGGGTAAAATGGAGGTAAAACTAACACTAGCCTCAGAGAGAGGATTAAATCAAAATAATGTATCTAAAGCACTGGCACATTGTAAGCCCACAAACAAGATTAGGTGTCATTACTGCTATTGTTTCCTTTTTTGGGGCCCTAAAATTGGAGGCAGATGGAATTTCTTCACAGAGCCAGGTGCAGGCAAACTGAGTTTGGGGAAGGAATGATTAGTACCACCTTCGTCCAGCATCTTTCCTTGCACCCAGAGCTACAGGGCCAACAAGAAAGAACAAAACCAAGAAAGAAGACCCTCCTCATCACTGCGCATGCAAAGTAAATACATATTTCTTCAATTAGACATACTATTTCACCACATTGCATCACCTCATTGCCAAAAATGTCTCTGCGGTCATGGATGAGGATCCAGCCTAGCCTCCAGCCTGGAACCAGCCAGCGCTTGGCCAGCCCTCCACAGGACAGGATGGGGACGTTGTTGCTGAGGGTGGCCAGAGGCTCAAATTTGGAATCTGAAAACACCTGAGGCAAAGAGATGCTTGTTATAGTTGTCTTATTGCCTACTTTTGTACAAATCCCATGCCTTCTACCTTTTTTCTATGGACAGAGTCTCGAGTTCATAGGCTCATCCCTGAACTGAAGCATGACTGGGATCCCACGAGGCTTCAGAGGGGATAATACAAAGCCACTAACCTGGTGTCTGGTCTGGATTAAAGGAAGCCTAACATGAGGAAACTGACCCCAGTCCAGTACTGTGTGCAAGCTGATGAAGCCAGTTCTAGGAACTGAATGCCTGCTGGAATCAGAGATTTAAAAATAAAATATGGGTCCACAATCCCTTATCTGAAATTCCTGGGTATAGATATGTTGCAGAATGTAGGGTTGTTTGGTAGAAATGTTATTAGCATATACACCATAACATTACACAACACCCCCAGAGCTGTTGGGGGCCTCACACCTAATCAAGCATATTAACATTTCTGCCCCTTTCCCTATGTTCTTGACAGATCTGTAAGTGAAATAAATTTTTAAAATCCACAAATAATCTTTCTATCAGGTCAAGTCAGGTTTTCCACCAAATGAATTCCAAAAATCTTCAGATTTTCATAGATTTTTGGATTTTGGAAAACTGGCTAAGGGGTCATAGAGCTATCTGCTTGCTAGAGTGCAGGAATAATGCTGATTTGCTCTACTGAAACAATTAGGAGCTGCTTCTGATTATTCTCAATGCCACCGCTAAAGGGCCCATGAAATTATTTGGAATTGAGCTTGCAGTGGTATATTCTGCCCAAGACTCACCATGTCTCCATAGATCTCATCAGCTAAGATGGGGACACATTGCCTCGCAGCCACTGAAAATAAGAGAAACAATGAGGAAATCATTTTTAACATGAATTGCCTTTACACTTACTATTTACCTGGACTTATTTGTACTTCACATTTCATGTTTGTGTGTCCATTTTACTCTTTAAAAATGCCAAATTCTTCTTATACTCTCCCAGGCTGCAGAGCCTAAATTTACCATTTTACTAACTGGGTGTCTCAAACCCTCTCTTCCGTACATGGGAGTAGTGAAGAGGCAACTGTTGCCTTTTTCTCCGTTTTTTAGGCAAGTCATTGCATTCCAGTGGCACAGTATTCACTAGAGTGCCCAGTGGAGCGCTCCACCCCCATCCTAGGCTTGGAACTTAGGGAAGGACTCTTATTCCAGGAAATTGCCAAACGATTCTGTCCCCATCTTCTCCCCTGGCAAGTGGAGTTGGCTCGACTTACCAGCCAGAATTTTCTGGAGGTGACTTTTACTGAACACTGCCCCACAGGGGTTTGATGGATTATTGACAATGAGACAAGCTGTCTTTTCATCAATCAGAGATTCCAGGTGTTTTATGTCAACTTCCCAAGACTTCTCTGGCTGGGGAGGAAGACAGAGTGAGACTAAGATGATTCTGAAGAATTCAGGGGTAATACTTAATGGTGTAGTGTCAATAATAAAATGTGTCTGTGGCCTCCACCACCCACTGCCAGATCTTTCTCTCCTAAGACGATGATCGTGTATTTTTATCAAGTCATAATTGAGCACTAGAGTCTAAAATTAAAAAGTCATTTACCAATAAATTGTAGAGTTTGACTTCAATTCCCATAGATTCAGCCAAAGTCCTGTAGAGAGAGAAGCCGGGTCTTGGAACTAGGATATTTTGCCCTGGGTTGGCCAATACAGCTAAACAAAGTTCAATAGCCTGACTGCAGCCACTCGTCAGAATGACATCCTGTGAAGAAAATAAAATGTTCATTTAGTTAGGGCTTCCAACGGCAGCAGGAGAAAAGAGATTGTCAGATGGGAGCAAGTTCTAAGTAAACTAATAGGGACTGCACTAAGCCAAAACTAAAGAAGTGAACATGTTTATATATGTCTACATGTAAATGTTGTTGGAAATGTGGACAACATAAAAGAAATAAGCAAATCATTTGAAAAAGGACAAGTTGGCTGTGACTCAGCGGTCTCCCATGAGAGATCATCATGACCTTGGACTTTTTCATCTGGTTATTTATTTACTTTTGACCTGAGATTTGAAGCCTGTCTCTTCTCTGAAATAATATGAAAGGCACCTCTTATGTTAAGACATGTGGACCCCACACAGACGACAGTAGAGGGGAGGCTGGCATTTAAACTTGGCACTGCCCTCAATTCAGTGTGCCACGAGACCTCAATACCTGCAGCAGAGTGGCCTTAAGGTGAATGAGGGTAGCTACAAATGAAAAAAAGATCCTATTGGTAAAATTAAAAATGTTAATAATATAAGTGCTTATGAATTATTGTTTTTCAATGGTCTTTCACAGAGCACCAAATATAGGGTGACCTCTGAGTTCTCTGTGCCTCTTTGAGACAGGACACAACTATGTTGCATGCAATATTGCTATCATACCATAATGACATTAAATAAAATCACCGATCAGTGGCCTTGTTACATAAGTTCTCAGACTGTTAAAGGGAAATTATCCGCAGCTTTTGTTCATCCTGAAACCTTTATTCCTTGTGAAACAGAAGCAAGGAAAAAGATGTATGTAGTTTGCCCAGCATTGCTTCAGAGCTGGTACCTTGTCTAAGGCTCACCTTAGCTTCCAGGGGCGCCTCAGGACAGTGATAATAAGAAGCGACTTCCTCCCGACTGGATAGGTAGCCTGAAAGAAAGGGTGGAAGGAGGAAGCTGGGATTTTTCATCCTGCAACTGACAGCTATGCTGGGTCAACAGGGCTCCGGGCTACCTTCTGCTCCTGCTCAGGGCACATTATTCAGTTTAGGGCTCAACCACTGCAGACAAAGGAGATCAACTTTATATTTTACAATTTTATTATAAGCACAAATGTATAAATAACAAGGAAAGCTCCCCAAACTATAAAATACTCTGTACCACCTAAGCTACTGTGATTATGTTTTATTCTCCATAAACCACAGGATTAGGTAATCTGTAAATCCCTTCCAGGGACTGTGTTTTTTGAAATGTTGGAATCCATACGTTTAATACATTGGGTCCTTTAAGTTTTTTATATTACATAATATACCTAGTAAGTGTTTTTATACAGCTGTTTTTCTTTTAAATTATATTCTTGTACAATATTTTCCAAATGTTGGCTTTCAAGCTTGAAGTATAGATAGTATAATGCCAGTTATCATGTTTTGCAAAAATGCTTTCCAAAATGATTGTCTTCAGTTAGAAAGGCCAAATACAATATTTCATTAATGCTTAACTTAATAGTAGAGATGGGTATTCTGAAATTATATAAATTATCACTTCCTTAATTTTCCTTAAAAAAGGAAAAGCATTTCCCTAGAAATATATTATTCTCTGTATTTCTTTTGGCATGAAATGTTCATATCCTTTTAATTATTTGTCAGACACTTGGCTTTAGCTTTTCAGGTTGAATCAGTTCCCTGATATTTCAGACAAAAACGTCATATAAACTTGAACCTAACTTTTGATTTAACTTTGTTTCGATTTTTGTTGTATGCAACTTTATGACATAGAAATATGAATAATCAACCTAAAAATCATATCTCTGAGAACTTTTTTGAAATATCCTTTAAAATTCTCTTTTAGCATGAAACTGGATTTTTATTCTGCATTAAGAATATGTTTCTACGGCACGTATGCACAGGGGGGAAAATGTGAAACACTGAAACAAAGTCAACAAATCACTTCTTTTACCCCAATGTTTAGGGTAGAAATGTTTAATAGATGGAGAGAGATTTTGGATTTATTCTTATTAAAGAAAAAATGGGGTTACAAATCCCATCAAATGTTTAATAGATGGAGAGAGATAAACCTAAATAAGAATAATTTCTATCAGAAACCTGCTTCAGTAGCACAGCTCATTATTTGTCGTTCTTGGGTTTTTTGTTCGTTTGCTTGTTTTTACCTCTTTAATCTGAAACAATTACTACCTTTGCATGTGGTCAGGACCATAATTAAAATATGCTTTCAGTGTGCAGAGGAGAAATAAAGCCAAGGAGCTATTTACATAAATTAAATTATGTAAGTAATTTGGGATTTAGAGGGCTCAGTAAACAAGCAGCTGCAGTTACACTCAAGGCCTTCTTATTAGAATTGGCAGTGGGAGGATAGAAGCATTATTTGAGAAATGAGTATGGGATGGGGCCAGGAGGGAGGGGCCATTTTGCCAAAGGAAACCAGGGGAGAAGCTGGATCTTGATGGCTTATGTTTAAGCATTTGCGACCCCTTTCCCCAAATCCAAATGGACATTTTATTTTAGCCTCTCCTTAGGAGCTATGCATCAGGACAGTAAGGAGAACTGCTGGGAAATTCATTCCTGTTAGAAGAACACTAAATATTTGGTAGCCACCAGACAGAGCCTCAGGAGGAGCTTACCAATGGAAGGGGCATAGCCATTGTACTTCCCCGAGTCCAGGGCATCTTTCACTGCTTGTGTAACTTCAGGGTCTGTAGGCAGGTTTCCAAACACAGTAGGGTCCCCTTTTTATGGAAGGGAAAAAAAAGAGCCCCAAGAGGTTACTCTCCCACACCCAGTGCTCAGAATCACCGTCCATTTCCATCTTCCCCAGCCAGCCCGTGAGGATGGGGCAAAAGGGAACAGGACGGCCCCTCCACCGAGTCTCCCCAACTCACCAATCGACAGAGCAATTATGGTTTTGTTTGGGTTTGGCTTCACCTTCATGGTGTCCACGATGGCCCGGATGGGATTGAAAGTTTTGTTGGACATGTCCGAGGGCCTCACAGACCATCTGGCCTTCCTGCCCCTCATTTTTCCCAGCACGGAGCTTCTCCCACTGATGTTCACGTGCACATCCAGAACTGAGGGAAGGTTGTTGCCTTTCATCTGAATCACGTATGGGTCCATCCCTAGTGAGGCCTGTGGAAAAAAGAAGGAGGTCCCCGTGACACTAAGAACAGAGCACCAACCCAGGGGCCATATTCGGACCTAAATATCAGGGGGATTTCCCTGGATGTCTCTTTCCAAACTCCTTTGTTTTGCTGCTCTCTCATGTAACGTAGCTTTGTTATGAATGAGAATGTTAAGCCTTTGGCTGAGATGGGAAATCAAGCAAGAACCCATTCTACAATGTTAGCAGAGTGCTCTGTTGAAGTTACCTACAGTGAGATTTGCTATTTGTAACCACAATCCCTGTAGAAGTTTAACTGTGCCCTCAGGGAAACGGAGGGGAAATGACACGAAAACTTTTACACAATCACAGCACATGTGTACCCTTCTTTCTATGCACAACCTTGTCAAGACAGAGAATCCCTAACACTTCAACAGACTGTGTCTTGTCCTCTGCAAAGAACTAGGAAGAACCATTCCACATTGGCAGAAATTTAGTATTCATATGATCATTAGTAGAAATAAAGCTCTAGCCCATAAGCATTGTAATTACTGCCCTGTGCATAAAACAGTGAATAAACAACAAAGAAAACAGCATACAGCCCAATCACTAACCCCCAGATTAGCTGAGGCTTCAGATTTTACCTTCCAAGTAGAGGAGAAGCAGCCTTCGAGTAGCTGCACCTGGAAGCTCTCTTAGTTCTTTGATGGTGACAGTGTCAGTGGACTCAGATGCAATTCCTGACCCCTGAAATAGTCTCCCCAAATGGGCGTTGGGCCTGGACCGTTTGTGCTATTGGCCAGCCTGAGGCCCGGACAGCCAGCCCTCCTCTTTCCTCCCCTCCTCACTTTTTTGCTGCTTCTCACCTCTAACCCCACCTCTACCTCCACCCCCAAGTCAGGAATTTGTCCTTACTTCAAATATCTGGGATTCTCTGTGTTAACTCTTTCTGAGCATTTTCGGAGATATCTGAGAGGGACTGTCAGAGATGTAGTTATGACTACAGTTGGTAATTTTTGCTCAGTCTTTTTTGCTACAGAGCAACATATCACAATGTTAACAGTACAGAAATGGGTGAAGTAAAAAAGTGAGAAGCCTTTTTTGCACCTTGCTCTCTGGACATTGCATTCTCACTCCTGGGGGTGGGCAGTGGCAATGATTTGGCCATTTCTATCCATTCACCAAGATAGATAGATGATAGGTAGGTAAGTAGGTAGGTGAGTAGATGTCAGATACCTAGATGATACACGGATACATACTTTTATAGATTTTTCAAAATGCAGATGGGATTATGCCTTCCAACTTCTTTGCCAACATGTTTATGCTAAGGCGGGAACACTTCGTGGACTTCTACAAAGTTCTATTGCACGCAGAAGAAACTGGCAGTTGAAGTAAATTAAGGTCCACTCAACAAATATCTGAAGAGTACAGAAAAAGCCACTGGCACCTGGGCAATTTTACCCTCATACTGTGAATTCTCTTTGATTTACCTGCCGTGGACTTACTGGAAGAACAGGATGTCGGAAGAGATCTAAACAACCTCACGTAGCCAATACAGCAGGGATCTCAGCCTGGCGGTGAGCCTATGGAAACCACCACCCACTCAAGGGTTAAGAGAAGCCCCGGTGACCCCATAGCTCAGATCCTGTCTGTTTATTTATCGGGAGACAAAGAGTTGTTACATAATTTCCTTCTTCTCCATTTACTTTTTGGTGATTCAAGTCTCCAGAGGGGTTGAATAACTTTTGATTTTTCTGGGTCTCCCATCTCTTCGTGCTTTGGAGAATTTACCTAATGCCTTCTCTTCCCCATTCTAGCAAAGCAAGGCTTCATCACCTCCCCTTGTCTGTGGAACAGCAAAAGCCCCAGGCAAGGGCGGAAAGCCAGTTGGATCAAAGAGAATGTCAGTTCTGAGGCCAGAGGTCCTGAGCCTGAGTTAGACAGCCAGGGCTGCTCTGTTTCAAAAGGCGAATGCACAGCCCTGTGCATACAACAACCAAAGACAGAAAAGGAAAGGCTTGAGCCAGTTCTGCTATTTGACACCCTATGGCAAAAGTCAAACCGCTTGTTTGTTTCATTAAATTCCATTAAACATGCATACATAGCAGTGCACTTCATAGGCTGAATAGCGCTACCCTCTGATAGTTGCCAACAGAGTGAGAAGATGGTACTGTTCCTAAAGCACATAGATTTTGCCAAGAGAGAAGACCATTCTTTTCTTAATGCTTTTATTCCACCACCACCCCCACTTGAAATATAATTCATGTGTGCTGGAGACAATCAGAAAAAATTAAAAGCATTTATAGCCCCACCACTGCTCTTAACACATTAGTCTTATTTTCCCCACCAAGTTGGGATCCTGTCCTATATACATATTTTTTAAATGGAGATAAAATTCACATAAAAAAGTCACCATCTATACCGTCTCCAAGTGCAAGATGCAGGGATTTTTTTAGTACACTCACAACCTTGTTTAACCATCACCCCCATCTAATCGCACATTTTCATCACTCCAGAGAGACATCCCATCCCCATTAAGGAGCCACCACCTATTTCCCTCCCCCAAGCCCCGGAAACCATACATCTACTTTCTGTCTCTATGGATTTGCCTAGTCTGGACATTTCATATAAATGGAATCATACAATAGGTGGCCTTTCGTGTCTGATATCTTTCACTCAGCAAAAACGGTTTCAAGATTCACCCATGTTGTGGCATGTATCGATATTTCATTCCTTTTTGTGGTTGAACAAAATTCTGTTGCATGATAGACCACAGTGGTTTATCCATTCACCAGCTGATGGACGTTTGGGCTGTTTCCGCCTTTCGATTATTACAAATAACGCTGCTATGAACACTTGTATACAAGTTTTTATGTGAACATATGTTTTCAATTCTCTTAGTTTTTGCCTCGTGCATTTTGAAATGACATCATGAATATTTTCCCATGGAAAACATTCCATCATAGAGAACTATCATGATTTATTGACTAGCCTGTTGTCGGACCCGATGTGGGGTCTAGTTTTTATCATTTGGAAGTGATATTGGCAAGGCCATCCTTGTACATAAATATTGGTTCATATATTTAATTATTTTCTTGAGATAAATTTTTCTGATACATTGACTTACTGTATTGAAGATGATAAACACTTTTCTTTTACATTTCCTTCTTTAGAAATTAAGTTACTAAATATATAGTAAATTCTAACATAGGTGTTTATAAACTAAACCCTGAACACCTTCTTTCCCCACAATCTTACTCCATAGAGATGATCTCTTTAATCATTTCTTGTGTATTTTTCCAAGTGTTTTCTATGTCTATGTAATATCTATGTCATTTGTTTTGGAGTTGTTCAGAAACATATATACTACACATTTGTTCTATAGCTGCACTGTCCCTTATAGCCACTAGTCATAAGTGGCTACTGTGTGCTTGAAATGGGGTTTATCTGAATTGACATGTGTTAGTGTAAAATACACATCAGATTTTGAAGACTTACATAAAAATATTGTAAAATATCTCGCCAATAATTTTATGTTGACTACATACTTCGATAATATTTTGGATATATTGGGTGAAACGAAGCATATTAATTCAACCTATTTCTTTTTAATTTTAAATATTTAAAATATTTTTCCAGGAAATTCAAAATTACCTTGTGGTTTGCATTCTGTTTCTATTGGTCAAACAGGAACAGACAAGCTGTTCTATAGCTTGCTTTCTAAAAAACCTTAATAACACCTTGTCCTGACATATTTCCATTTTTATACTTTAAGATCCACTTCATTCCTTTAAATGGCTACATAGTGTTCGTTCAACCATTCCACTCTTGGACATGAGGCAGCTTCTTTTTTGTTTTCTATAAAGCACACGGAACACACTTTTTATTTGTGATTGGGATTTTTTTTTTGGGGGGGGGGGAATTTTTATGAGCATCCTGCAATTTGTGGATAGTTTCCTAGAAGTAGAATCACATTTCAAATACTGATAGACCTGCCACATCGATCAGTGATAGACTATAGGAAAAACAGACAATACAAATATGTCTTGTTTTGACAACCTCTTGGATTTCAGACTGTCAGGACAGCATATCCTGCTTGAATCAACTGAATGCTACAGGAGGGGTTCTCTAGGTGGACAGAATCTCAGAGGTTAAGATCCTTCTTCTTGATGTTGGCCTTTGCAAGAGTTAAGTCGAGCAAGGATGGGGTTTTCTGGAAGTTAGAAGCTATTGTGACTGATTTCTGCCACTTGAAAGATGTAGACTTTGAAGGATCCCACCTTTACATGGACTCAGATTCAACTTTCTTCCCATACCCACGGATCCTATAGGCTTGGTGTTCTGTCACCACTTGGACATTAAAACAGGAACCTTAGATTCTTCAGAAAGTTCCCTCTAGGGCAGCAGCACTGTCAACTCACCCTTAGCTCTGGTTCTCACTTCTTTCTCTTTGTTCCTGGGGCATTCCTTTTTTATCCTTGGAGTTTTGTCAGCCATTGTGTCATATTTTATCCAACATTCCCAGATGTTCTCCAGATCATCCTGACCTCAGCATTGTCAGAAATAGAAGATTCTCTATTTGTTAATTTGAAATGTCGCCTTTACCCTGTGCTAAATTCCTATTTTGTCCTGAACCTTTTATGGAATATTCTATTCTAGAATGCATATTTTTACAGTTTCTGATACACATGGCCAACTTGCTTTCAGAAAGGCCGATTACCTTCCTATCAGTAATTGTTTGCAAACCCTGGGAATTATTTTCTAAAACGATCTTTGCCAAATTGATTGACAGGGGGAAAAAAGTGGTGTTAAAGTATTGCTGTCATTTCTGTTCTTTTATTATTTGAGTGAGGATGGTCTCTTTTCATGCACTTATTAGTTCTTGGAGTTTTGTGAATGGTCTGTTTAAGCACCTCACCTGTCTGTCAAGGGGGCCCATTCTGTCCTTTGGGGAGGCCTGGGCCTAGGAAGCAACTGCAGAACAATGAAACAGCTGCTCTGAGATCACCCACCGGCTGGCTCTGTCTCAACCTGGCTGGCTCAGACTCGGGTTTACAGATCAAAGACCAACCAGCAGCACAGGATCTGGGCAGATGGTCCTGCAAATAGTGCAGCTGACGCAGGATCTTCAGGGCCCAAGGGGTGTGAAGGGGACAGGGGCTTCTGTATCAGGTCATCCCCTTAGATATGCCCTCATTCGGTAACTGACAACTGAATCTAGATCAGAAGGAAAACAGACAAAACAAGTGTTGGCGATCCTCCCCTCTTCTGGAACTCATATTTTCTCTCAGTAGAAAGCTAAGCAGGGGGACAAATGAGGGGACCCAACTCTACTTAGGAAGCTTTACGGCTACCAGGTAAACTCCACGGGTAGTCAGGGTATAATAAATTGTAGACATACTAACCAAATAAAACAAAAATACGCCAACCAGCCATAGTTAAGACTTTCTCTGAAAAATCAAACAACCACTTTCATCGATTTTTTTTTTCTTAAGCCTAAAACTACTGTGTCTGCCCTAGTAAAAGTATTTTTTTTAATTGTGGTCAAAAACACTGAACATTAAATTTACCATCTTTATCACTTTTAAGTGTACAGTTCAGTAGAGTTAAGTATATTCACATTGTTGTGTGAACTTTTTCATCTTGCAAAGGTGAAACACTGTACGCACTAAACCCTAACCCTCCCTCTCTCTTTTTTCCAGCCCTTGGAAAATAACTTTCTACAAATAACCCCCGACCTTTCTACTTTCTGATAGTATTTTTTAAATGGTTCCAGCACCCAGAGATAACTGCTGTCAACCATTTTGCCCATAATTAACATTCTGAAATACATATTTTATTCTAGGTGTATATCCATAGGCTTTATATATCAGAATTTTGTGTTCTGTTGAGTCTCATTTTACATGATTTCCTGAGCATTTTCCCAAAAGTATAAAAATGTTTGTCAACTTTTTTGGTGATCACCTAAAACCCTTTGTTTTCATACACGTGGTTCCCACATCTTTCCTTTCTCTACCCAGGAAGAGCAGTGTAAGAGCTCCTGCTTACTTGGCATCTACCCCAGACCAAGCCTCGTTGGACACAGTCTCCCTGACTCCTCATATGAATACCGGGAGTAGGGCCTGTTTCACTCTCACCTGACAGATGAAAATGAGGTCACATAGTGGTGAGTGGTGAGTGGTGAGTGGGCATTCCAGTCTTTCTATCTGGCTCCAGGTTCCACAACACAAGTCTGCCCCTCCTGAGAGAACAAAGGGAGTTGAGAAGTAGAGTCCTTTCTTCCCTAAATAGAAAAAAAATAAACGTGGGGTGGGGCAGTGGGGGGGGAGGAGAAGGAAAACCTGGAGAGGGGATCAGGTGGAGGTGACCTTCAGAAAGTGATGAATTAACTATGTGAGCTAGGTAGGGACTAGTCATCTGCCTTTTATTGCTTGTTTTCTTATTAGTACTTTGTATCTTTCCACCTGGACCATTATCAGTGATCACTCGTCTGTTGGGTACAGAGGAAAGCATATATTGTGATAAACCTAGTTGTCTTGCCAATGGGTTTTGGCCCCAGGCAAGTTCGCTATGGATTCAGTGTGACCAAAGAAATCGACAGCAAAACGTTCTTGGGGTGAAAGGGTTATACCCAACTTTATTTCCAGGTGGCAGGTCAGTCACTAGAACCCCATTCACTCAGAGTGAGTCTGCAGGCAGCAAGCCGGTCTCTGCCTCTGGGCCCATCTGTCCGCACAGCCGTCCCACACAGCCGTCCTCTGGGCCTCTGTCCTTGGCGCTGCCACCATTCCAGTCTGCTCTGCTCTCCTACAGCCTTGCAGCTATGCCACCATGTCGTGCCCAGAGCACTGGGCGGAGCTCTTTTTATAGAGTCAACAGCCATGTAATGCCCACAGGTGTGCAGTGAGCTAGTCAACCAGGGCCAGGTGAGAATCCTGGCCACAGGAACTCTCATTTTATCCACACTAGTGGACTGTAAACTTGCCAAGTAGTATGAGATGCGGAGCATTCCTTGTGCTTCTCCATGTCCTCGTTTAATTCTGGCAGGGCGTTTGATACAAGCCATGCCCAATACTTGCTTGCCCATTGGCAATGAAGAGTACATAGACCAGAGGGGAAAAAGTGGTAGAAGGGTGGTAAATGAGGGAAAACCCTCATAGTTATAGCAGGGGTAGTGAGGAATTTAGGAGGGACTTGGTAGCTAGGTTGGACGTCGATCATTTAATAATTCCAGCTTACAGTTATAGGGAGAGCTTGGTGGTTTGTTCCCACATTCATTAGCTCATGTAATTTTTTTACCATAAATAAAAAACCAAAAAACCCATAACCTGTGATCTAGACAGAGAGAAGGCTGTAGGAACAGAGAAGTGAATCTGGTTGAGCTTTTCAAATTTTAAACTTTAAAGTTTAGAATAGGTTTATGGAAAAGTTGCAAAGACAGTACAGAGAGTCCCTACATCCTTTACCACATTGCCCTCTATTTCTGAACATCTTATGCTAGATGGTACATTCATAGTCACGACCAGGAAAGAAACATCGGGTCCATTAATATTAACTAAACTCCACATTTTAGTTAGATTTCATTAGTTTGTCCGTGAATACCTTTTGCCGTTCAAGGACCCCATCCAGGATACCATTTCACCTCCTATCTCCTGAATCTAGTCTGATCTGAGAGCGTCGTCTGGTCTGTGGCCATTTCTCAGGCTCTCCTTATTTTTCATGACCTTGGCAGGTTTGAGTAGAACATTCCTCAATTTGGGTTTGGTTGATGTTTTTTCTCCTGGTTAGAAGGAAAGACCAGTGAGCTTTTAATGTTACAGCCCTTCCCTTCACATCAGGGCTCTAAAGGTTAAAAAGGAAATGAAATGTTCATCTGTTTGCTGATTGAAGTGTCTGCTGGCCACTTCTTTCATGGAGTATAGCAAATAACACCATCCTGTTTGCTTTGTGCTTTGCATAACATTTAAACCATTCCCCATTAACTCAGTCATTTTTTTTTTAAGTCAGAACCTGGTGTTCCTGCATTTGTGGATGGCTAGAACCTTAATGCCACTTCAAATCTTAGCATTTATGAAGAAAGAGTGTCATGTATATTTACAGAGAGAAGCCATCAAGCAAATAAGCCTAGATTCTTGGGAAATAACTTGTGTTCTAGCCTTTCTTCTGTTCAGAATAATTTACAGTCTAAACCATGTTCCAATCCCTCAGCCTATCTCTAGACCATGATTTCTCCTTATTTTTATAATAATACATTAGCTGGTTGTGTTTTTGTAATTGAGATATACTTCACATACCATATGATTTATCCTTTGCAAGCATACAATTGACTGGTTTTTAGTATTTCACTGGGTTGTGCAATCATCACCATTATCTAATTCTAGAACACTGTCATCACTCCCAAAAGAAACTCTCTACCTATTAGCAGTCACTTCCCCCTAGACACACACACCCCACCTTGCCCCTTGCAACCACTAATCCACTTTTTATCTCTATAGATTTGCCTATTCTGGACATTTCCTGCAAGTGGAATTGTACAACATGTGGCCTTTTGTGTCTGACTGCTTTCACTTAGCATAACATCCTCAAGTTTCATCCACATTGTAGCATGTGTCAGCACTTCATTCTTTGTATAGCTGAATAATATTTCATTGTACGGATTAGCACATTTTGTTTATCTACTCCTCAGCTGATGGACCAATACTGAGGTTGTTCCTTAGATGATTATGTTTTGATGGCTGCTCAATATTTACTAATTGCCTCAGCTCCTGAAGTCATTCCTTATCTTCTTATTTCTTAATCCCCACCCAAGTCTTACCTCTAGCTGCCAAGCAAAATATAGCTAAACAGTGGCTATAGCTGAAAACAAACACATAAAAAACACCAAAAGACCACCTCTACCATATTCATGCAGTAATTAATTCACATATACTTACTCTGAACATACCATGTGTTAAGTACTGTTCTAAGTTTAATGGAATAGGGTTCAAGAAGATGAAGATTCCATTCTCAATGAACTAGAGTCTAGTGACAGAGATCGATATGAAGCAAACAATCACGCAGTTTTTAGAATCATTTAAATTGCTACTAGGATGAGAGCTACAGAGAAGTGCAGAGAGAAGAACTTCAGTGAAGAGAGAAGTTGAAGGAACTTTCCCTGAGGGAGTTCATTTGAGTGGAGTTGAGAAGATAAGGATTTGGCCAGGGAAAGGAGGGAGAGAGATTCTAAGCTGTGAAAATAGCATTGAAAAGCCTCAAAGGGCTAGGGGTTGAGAGAATGTGGACGGGCCTTCTGAGTAAGAAGGGAGTAGCAGACAGTGAGGCGAGGGAGGCACGGAGGGGCTCACTATGCCCATGGGTAAGGTTTTGATAGCCGTGGCAGCATCTTCTGGCCAAAGGACAAGGCTTTATCTGTCTTCCAACACACAAGGGCATTTAGAAATCCTTCCAGCTGCTCAAAATTAGGCAATTTTTCTTCTAGTCCTCTGAAGAACAATTCTTGCCTGTGGGTAAAAATATTCTAGATACTTTGTAATCCACTGGTATGCTGGCTATCTTCCCTTTGCCTCTTCAGATCCATCCTTGCCCTTGCCCACCCTTCTCTGTACCCTAAGAGGCTGACCTGCATGGATCGTGTCAGTGGAACTCTTGGCCATTGTGGGTCACTGGCAGGAGATTTGAAGGTAATGCATAAGGCTGGGTAATTAATCCTCCAGCTCCCCTTTGGTTGGGCTGCATCTTCTGAAGACCATGGCTGTTACTAGGAGACCATCTCCACACAGCTACCCTCTCTGGGTTCTTGTCATCATTTCTTCCCTTCACTCCTTCAGGCAGCTCCCCACCTTGGTTTCTCTGATTCCTATTCACACCTCTGATGGCAGACTTTAGTTCCCCCAAATGGCTGCAACATTACTCCCATTTCACACGCTGCTTGGCAATGTGGCTGTACCATTTCTCCACTGAGAGGTGGAGTTTATTTCTCCACTCTCTTGAATCTGGGCATATCCTGTGACTGTTTTGACCAATGGAAAATGGGGAAATGCACTGTGCTAGTTCTGGATATAGTCCTTAATTGATCTACTAGCTTCTGCTTCCTGCTCTTGGGATTCTGAGCCTCCCTGTAAAAATCCAGTTACTCTGCTGGAGAGAGAGGACAACTAGGTAAACACCAAGGTGCCAGGCAGGTAAGTGAAGAAGCCATTTTGGATGGCCCATCTGAGCCATCACCTTACACCGGACCAAGATAACTGTGACTACATGAGAAATCCCAAGCAAGGTCCACCCAGCTATTTCCGGTCAACTCCCAGAACCACAGAGATCCAAAACAAATCATTATTTCCAGTCAACTCTCAGAACACCTTTGCATATGGTTCTTTTATTAAACTCTCTTCAAATATCCTAGTTTGCACGCACTTTCTGTTTCCTGCTGGGATCCCATAGGCCACCACCAAAAGCACCTAACAACAAAAATCCCACTCTTAAGTCTAACCTGGACCACAGAATCCTATGAGTAATAGGGATTGGCGTGATCTGGGAAAGCCATCAGCAGGAAGTCATCCTGCACACATGAGCCTCTATCTATCCAATTTTAAACACAGGACCTCGGTCATGCTCTTCAGGACTTTTCACAAGCTTTCAAGAACAAATGTAGCAGATCAGGCCTTTCTGCTGCACAATGAATTATTCATCTTCTCATGAAAGTGTTTTGTTCTTTTGCAGGCCAAAAAAAAAAATGAGTTTGTATAGTTTCCTCAAAGACCAACTCTTGCGTTCTATTCTTTGTCCTTTCTGGAAAGATTTCATAGGTGAAGGTGCCAAAATGGAGTTCAGTATCTCTTGTAAAGGTCTAACTAGTTCTGTAAATAAGAGGAGGATATATAGCTATACATGTAATATATACATATACAAAGAGAAAGAGATTCTCTTCCCACCAAGTCTGATCTCTGAGCAGCCAACTAAAGGAATAGTTTAAATAATGAGATGAATTACATAAACTTTCTCTTGCTGACCTTTAATGAGACCCCAGGGCCTAAAGCCACCCAGACCTTAGCATTTCCTCAGCCCTGCATTTCCCCTCGCAGTGAGAGCTCCAGGCACAAAGACAGGACTTTGCAGGAGGAAGGAGCATCTCCTGGTAGCATGGCACAAACTAAGCACCCCCTACCCTGTGCCATCGTGGGGGACACAGGGTCTTCCTTCCAGACAGGGCAGGTGCTGCGCCTGGCTGCTATACTGCAGGAAGTCCTGGGAAGAGCTCCATGCGCCTGCAGTTCTGAAGAATTCTGTCAGCCAAGAAGCACAGAATTTTCCAAAGGTTAAAGGATTTGCTGCTGCCAGGCCCTACTGAGGCCCCAAGGCCACTCCTTCACGACTCTGCCTGAAAACTTGTGCCAGAGATGATGCAACTCTGCAAACTTTATCCCAATGCATTGCTGGGATCCACTGAAGGGAGCACGCCATCAGCAGGGGCCAAGCCACATGAATTACCCAAGTCTGGGAACATCACGTTCCCGCAAGACACTGGACAAAACAAAGAGGAGGCGTAATGGGGTCTCCGAGGTCTGAGAAGAGGGCCGCGGGCAAACGTCTCTCCTAGTGGGAGGGCTGGGAGCGAGACGAGAGAGAACGAGACCAGACAACAGGATGCCGCTTTGAACCAAGTCGAACCTGGAGAGTGGAACACTGACTGTGCATCACTTAGAGCTTTTCCATAACAAGAGGCCTACAATCAAGTTTCATTAATCAACTAATTCAACAAGTACTTATGAGCCAGGCTCTCTTCTAAGTGCTGGGGATACAGCAGTGAAGATAAAGAAGTGAAGGAAAACAAACCAAGTTCCTGCTTCCGTGGAACTGACATTCCATGGGGGAAGAGTAGCAATGGACAAAGAACAAAAAAACTAGCGGGCATCAACGTCGTCAATTGAAAATACAACAGGGTAGGGATTAGACGTGGCTGCTATTTGGCGCATGCTCATTAGAAGGACCACCTCCCTGCCCCGCCCACCACCCCGCACCCGCCAGGCAGTGGCATTTAAGGGGCGGTGGGAGTGAGAGGAGGGCGTGTCCTGCAGGTGACTGGGAGAACGAGCAACCCAGACAGAGGGGACAGCAAAGTGCACAGCGTTGAGGGGGGACTGCCCTCCGTGTCTTGAAGGCACAGCCAGGCCGGCGGGCTGCAGTGGGCAAAGCAGACCGGGGGCAGGAGAGGACGGGGGTAAGAAAGTGCTTTCGTCTCGCTACCCAAAGGACGCAGTAGGACTGGTTTAACAAGGGAAATGTTTGCTTTAACGCCCCCGTCTGGGTCTGTAGTCCCAACTGGTCATCTGTGAAGGCCTTCGGACATGAAGGGGTGGGGCGTCGTGTCTGCATCATCACTGACACCACTCGAAACTGAAATAAACCCAGAAAGGGCATGTGCTGTTAGCGGTGGACCCAGGGAGGTCACTGTAGTGCGCAGTGGCTGGCCACAGACCAGAGGGACAAACAGAGATGCCAATGGGAATTAAGGGGCTTTCCTTTGGGTTGAGTGTACAGAACTGGGGCTCTGCTGGGGAGGCCTCTGCAGCTGCCCCCAGCAAGCAGTTCCACCCCACAGGGATTTTACATACACCTGCTCATCTCCCCCAAGAGCCTTCAAATCCAGCTGTTCCCTTGGCCCTTATCTGCGAGTCCTGTGAAAGAGATGGTTTGTGGCAACAGTGATCTCAATAGTTAAGGCTGTAGGACACTAATGAGGAATTCGAAAGCTGTTAACTTACTGTCTTTTCCTTGTCTCACTTT